TGTGTTTCAGAGTTGAATTGCTCTCCATAGGGTTTTCCAAAAAATAAATGATACCACTTCTATCGCCTGTGTAAATCTGCTCTGCCAGCCCACCTTCTATCGCCAGAGCTACTGACAAAAGTTCAAGATGGTTACACTGCATCTGGCCAGCTTTTCTCCAGTCAGTCTCTCTCTCTTGCCATCCCTGCTCAGCTTCTCCTCCCAGCAAGCACTTAATCCAATTCTCTAACCTTTCTTCTGAAGGGCAAGGTTCCAGGATTCTCATCTGCTTCTGTTGCATTTGGTTTCTCTAATCTTTGTTGTAGAGGGTCTGTGTAGTACACGTGCCTTGTCTGCCTTCTCGGAGTCAGACTGTTACACAGTTCTTGCTTTCACTTAGAGCAAGTAATTTTTTTAACCCGCACCATGCATCAGAATCCCCTTTTGAAAAATACAGATGACCAGGCCCCACCCTAGCCTTAATCAGGTGAACTTTGGAGGCTGAGGTTGTACTGCTTCAGGCTTTGGAGTCAGAGTAACTGAATTCAAATCTCAGTTCCATCCATATGACTTGGTGCCAGTAACCTAATTGCTTACACTTCCTTTTTTGTAAAAATTGGCATAAAAATAATATGTGTTAATTCAAAACATACACATGGACCACCTTTCCTGAGCCTGGGCCCCTGTCTTGAGCCTGGCATGGTTCTGTGCTTTGGGGATAGGTGGTAAATCAGGCAGACACAGGGAATTTGTTCTAGCAGAAATACCGTTCTGATGGGAGGCTGACTACAAGCAAGCAAATATTTCAGACAGAGAGTTGTGCAGTGCAACAGCAAGGGCCATTTAAGATTGGGAAGTTAAGGAAAACCTCTAAGAAGTGATTATTTTAAATACTGTGGGTTTTTTTGTTTGTTTTTTTCCTCAGAAACACATTATTTATTTGCAAGGTGGGTGGGTAGGAGTAAGGAGTGAGGTTAGTGTTGTGGCAATGGCTCGATCTAAGCTAGGCCTATGATTTTGTCTATTGTTAGGGTTATGGTTAGAATTAAGGTTAGTGTGTTATTTTTCTTTGACGTTACCCTATAATTTATATATTAATTTTTTTCCCTGCGTGAAATAGTCTGTTTTATCTTGAAATTTACTAGACTCCCTTGTTATTTGAGTCTAGACTGCTTTATAGTTGACTTCATTATACATTGATATCTCTGGTTCCCTGTGTTCAGTCTTACTTTAAATACTTCTATATTTGGATTGATTTTTGGGCGCTGTTGTCATGTATGGTAATCTCAGGTTGTTGTTTGCTGTTGTTGGTTCTCAGTCCAAATTTTTTTTTATGTTTTATTGTGAATTATGTGATCGTTTACATGGGAGAACCTTAGCTTTACATTCATCCTGTCGTATAGCGTTTCATTGCCATGGTTACAATCCCCCCCCCATGCATCAAAAACCAACCAGAGGGTATACACTATAAGCCTGTCCCCCGGTCGTCAGTACACAGCCCCTCTCCCTCTCTGGGTCTAAAGTCCCCAGCTGCTCCATCTCTCCACGT